CGACTTTGTTGGTTGGGTCTGGCGCTGATGTGGCAAATTGGTGGTGGAAGGGCAACTTGGCAACATCAAAATGGGCCGTGTTGAGAGAGTCTGATGTTGGTGGGGATAGCCACCCCACCAGCAAAAGATGGCGCCTGAGGATTGGTGATTTTGATGTTAGTTAGGTCTGGCGAGGCGGTAGCTGGCTGAGAACCCGAACATAATTGGACTTCTGTTTAAGTTGATGGGTTCTGAGGAAGGGTCACTTGACCCAAAACATTAACTCCGATTTCTCTTCACAGATGCTGCTGGACCTGTTGAGCTTTTCTAGCAATTTCTGTTTTTGTTTCTGATTTATAGCATCCACAGTTTTTTTTGGTTTCTCTAGAAGCTAAAGCTTTTCATTGTTGTCTTGTTTTTAAACTATCAAAATGGCGCCATAATGTGGTGACTAATAAATCTTTTCACTTTAATATAGTGTATTTCTCTCTGTAAAATACATGTGACAATAAAAGTCATAAAAATCATTCATTAATGTGATGCCCATGTTCAAGAATGGTTGGAGACAGAAACCAAGAAACCGTAGGCTATTAGACTAATATATTTGTTTGAAAATGTATGAGTCCATTATTATGGAAGTAGTATAGAATTGCACAGTACAGAAGAGGACCGAAAGTTTTGATGAGTCAGTAACTGGAGTACTCTGTATAGTTTTGGTTTCTGTCCTTAAGAAAAGATATATTGACATTTGAGTTGGCATCAACAAAAACTACTTTAAATCTACACAATCCCACTTTCTAGCGCTTGGCCCATACCCTTGAATGTTATGACATTTCAAGTGCTCATCCAAGTACTTTTTTAAATGTCATGAGGCTCCAATTACCATCCCAGGCAGTGCATTCCAATTCCCACCACCCTCTGGGTTAAAACATTTTTCTTTAAATCCCATCTAAATAGCAGGACATTTAGAAAAGGTTGACATCATCAAATCAGTCAATACTCTTTTGTGAAATGAAAATGACAAATTTTCTAGAGTTCTTTGAGGCTGTAACATGCAGAGTTGATAAAGGTAAGCCAGTGGATGTTGGGAATTTGTATTTTTGGAGAGAATTTGATAAGTTGCCACTTAAAAGGTTTTGCGCAAAACAGCAGCTCATGGTATTGGGGGTATCAGCATGGATGAACATTGGTTAAAACAGAAGACAGGGACTTGATGCTAGTGGGTTTTTTCCACGTTCGAAAGAATTAACTCTTGGAGTTCCAGACGAGTTAGTCTTAAGGCCTCAATTTTTTTCCTCTCCATATTAGTGATATAGAGGAGGGCACAGTGTGGAATATATTCAAATTTGCTGACTATACAAAAACAGGTAGGAGAGCATGTTATGCTCAGGAGATAAGGAATCTGCAATGGAATATAGATAGATTGTTTTAGGCAAAGACTTGGTAGATATAGTTTAATGTAGGAAGGTTCAAGGTCAGTTTGGTAGGAAAATTCAAAAGGTAGACTATTAGATAAAAAGAGAGACCCTCCAAAAAAGTGCAGCGCAGGGAGCTGGGTGATTTTGTGCACGAAGCACACAATGTTAGCATGCAGGTACAACAAATAATGAAGGAAAATGGGCTTTTTTTATCTTTATTGCTCGTGGTTGGAGTTTAAAAATGGGAAAAGTCTTGTTACAAGTGTACAGGGTATTGGTGCAACAGCAACTGATGTACTGTATACAGTTTTGGACCTTGTATCTAAGAGAGGATATATTGGCATTGAATTGAATTGAATTAGCTCTATTGAGTGTACTCAAATGAGTGAAGTAAAAAGTTTACAACTCTCCACATAGGGCGCCACCTTAGGTATAAAGCTACCTCGGTACAGCTTTTCAAAAACAAGTTCTTAGGAAAAAGAAATTAGAAAAATAAAGAAATAAAAAGCTCAGCATTACAGATCATATGAATAATTAAGAAAAACCAAGAAATAATAAGTTCAGAATAACAGTTGAGCCAACTCAGTTCACGCCGACACCTAGCCTCCAGTAACTGGGAGAGATACCTCTACCGCCTCGTTGCTGCCTGTGCTGCACCCACCAACGTAGGAGTTGCCACACTTTGGGCGTCATCTCTTCACCACTGGCCCACCTCACTGATGCTGCTGAACCCACACTTGCATCAACTCAGGAGTCCCCGGCTCCGTTGATGCTGCCGCCTCGCCGATAACCAGAAGTCCCCACTCCGGGCCTACCGTGACAGCAACTAGGAGTCTCTGAGTCCGCTGCTGCCTTGATGACCCAGAAATCCCTGCTCTGGGCATAACACGCTGCTGCCACTGCCACACTAGTGCTAGGAGGCCCTGCTCTGGGCCCACTGCAACCAGGAGGCCCTGGCTTCATTGCCAGGCCAGGCCGCTGCCACACCAAGTGTCCTGCTTTGGCTACAAATGTCGCCTTGCCGGCGTCGCCATCTTGAAGAGTCTGCTGCCACCAGCTCTGCTGCTCCAATTGCTGGAGGAACTTTGCTGTCGTTGCTGCTGCCACTGGCCCCGAACGCCGGTGGGACTTGCTGCCATTGCCTCCGGTCCTGAACCATGGGAGGATGTCCTTGCTGCCGCTGCCTCCAATTGCCAGAGAAGCCGTCTCTGCCACTCTGCACATGGCCTACTGTTGTGGATGTGCCGAAGCTGCCAATCAACAGAAAAGTTAAAAGAAACACAGAAGAAAAGGAAAATAAGACAGAAAAAGAGCAGAAGCAAAAGGGAAAAATGGGAAAGCAGATGTGTGCAGATGAGACCACACGTAGCCCTGTTACTCTGCCATCTACTCTGCATACAGGCAGTTCAAAACAGATTGACTAGACTGATTGATAGGATGAAAGGGTTTAATTTATGAAGAACAGCTCAACAGGTTAGGCTCCTTTTTTAATGCCTTATGTTTTAACTGGTTACCTTCCTTGACCACCTTTGCTGACCAATTGGTTCATCCTTTTCAACATTCCTTCTTTTTGATTGGAATAAATTTTTGCTGTGTTATGAAACATTTGCTTAATTTTTTGCTACTAGTCCTGTACTGACCTTAACCCTTAGTCTATTTACCCAGCCCATTTTAGACAACTCATTCTCATACCTCTATAATTGGCCTTATTTAAGTTGAGGACACTGATTTGAGACCAGAGTTGCTTTCCCTGAAACTGAATTTGAAATTCTATCATGTTGTGATCACTAATCCCTGAGGGTTCTTAACTACTGCATCCCTTATTAATCTTACCATATTACATATTACTAGTTTGAAAAGGCCTGTTCCTAGATAAGTTCTGCAACTTTGAATGGAGTTGAGAAAAATAAAAGATGATCTCATTGAAGCATGCATGATTCTCAGAGATCTTGCCAGGGTAGACATTGAGAAGATGCTTCCACTAGTGGAGGATCTCAAACTGAGGCACATAGTCACAGAATAAGGGGACATTCATTTAAAACTGAGATATGAAAGAATTTATTACCCCAGAGGCTAGTGAATGTCCGGAATTTTCTGTCCCAGAGAGTTGTGGAGGCTAGATCACTCAAAGTATTTAAAGAGGATGTAGATTGATTTTTTTGAAACATCGAGGAATTAAGGGCTATGAGGAGTTGAGGCCTGGAGCCATGATCTTATAGAATGGTGGGACAGTCTAGATGGGCTGAATAGCTTTCTCCTGCTCCTATTTTTTATGTTTGTATGTTTAATTAGATTGTGTCTGGAGCTAAAGTAATATGACTTATTTTCTAGGTACACATTCCATAGCAGCAGTTGTCAGTTACTGGCTAATGGAGACTGAATGTTTACCAAAAATATACATGTGATAGAGCAGAAAATTTACGTATTTCTCTTACTTAATGTTTCCCATGTAAGTAATGAAAACATGGCAACTGACTCACCTTTCAATTGAAAGGGACATACACAAATTCTTATGTCAAGAAAATCCAATCTGCTGCCTCTAAGGCATTACTTTTCAGCTCTATTTAAGAATCATTGGGCAGAACTTTCCACTTGAGTAGTGTTATAGTGAATGGTTCATCTATCCATTATTCTCCCTGACTCATTTTGCTTTCTATTAACTTTAGTTGGGTAGCAAGTGGTTAATCTTCCTGTTTTATACCGTTGTGAAGTTCAAGGTTCTGCTTATTATTTAAATATTAAAATAACAAAAGAAAAGTAGTTTAACATGGGAGCTGACCTCATTGATGTGCGCATGAACAACTATAAAATTAGTGTAGACTACCTATCTATTAAAATGTTAGTGTTGGGTTGATCAAATTTGGCTGCCCAGTTGACTGAGACTGAGGGCTGAAAATTACAGGACTGGGAGGGGAACAGAGTTATCCCACACGACCAGGTTAAAGACTGTCGGAACCGGCAGTCCCTTGGAATTGATGAAGGCGTTCATCAGGTTAAATGAGTCTTTGGGTAACCACGAACCCCAATTTTAATCCCCAAGTATTTTTGCAGTGGCGTATTGTTGCTTGGAATTCACAGCACTGCATTTGTTTCTTTCTCTTTCTTCTGCCACTACAGTTGCACTTCACAGTAGAGTTGCTTAGCTTCGAAGTGATTTGCACGTTCATGGATCAGGTGTTATACCTACTGAATGGGCTGCCATTTTAATATTTAAATCTTCCCATTCTAACTATTTCATGGTATGTAGGGTATATTGGAGCCAGTTGAGTTTTGAAGCAGATGTATTGATTCTTAGTAATTTACTTAACTGTGGGTTAATTGTTCACCTTGGTGCTTGCCGATCCTCAGTATTTTGGGGATGAGGTTGGGGGTTGGGTGGGAAGGTGATGGACTAGCCACCAAACCTAGGTTACAAGCTCCCATGCTGAAAATATACCTAACGGTAATATTATTGAGGGAAAATGTGCAATAGTTTTATTGAGGCATGTATGAGCCAGAAGGCATCATTTTGCATAATGTGAATGTAAATTGTTGTGTTATGTGCTGATTAGATATCAATTCTGCCTGAACTTAACTAATTTTATAATTTGGTTAATTTTCCAGAATCGTTACAAGAGTGACAACCAAGTCAACAATCGAGAGGTTATGATTCTAATGGATGGGGAGTAAGTCACACCCTTGTCTTCAAATTAATAACATTCCGTGTATGCATCTTGTTTCCAGAATTTTAATTGTCGATTGTCATTTTTATTGTGCCCTGTTGCCTCTTATATCTCATTATAAATTCATTTATTCACAATTGTGTTGGAAGTTGCCATGGTAAACTTTGTAGTGGAAAATTGTAGTGGCAGCCTTTGTATCTCTGAAGGTTATGAAATTTTCATTGTTCGGAATTCTGCCTTTTAATTTTTTCCCAGCTGCTTCCTCTCCTTGGCTGTTGCCCGTTCAAAACATCAGGACTTAGTTGCTGTTCATGTTCACAATTTGAGCCACTTCACTGTTAAGATTGCATCCCTGGTAATGCTTACCAGGTACCAGCTGTTCCTGTCTCAAGCTATTGATAAACCACCAAACTCCCCATCTTGAGTGCAAGCACAGCTCGAAGGGGTGCATTAGTGCATACAGACAGCAGCATCAACTACAGGATATACAAAGGTTACTGGGCACTGGAAAATGGGCTTCTGGGAGTTGGGGTGAGGTGAGGCATTGGTACTTCATTGCTGCTTGATGCAGAATACCACTCTCCCTTACTGCTTGCAACAAATTGGCATAACATACATTGCCAAACCATTGGTCTGCTGTATATCAAACGTAACCAACCAGTCACTGGATAGTGACTACAACCGCCGCAGCAAGATACTGGGAAGGCTTCAGCATAAACTGCAGGCAAAGTGGGAGATCATAAAATTGCTTTTGAAAACGTTTTGATAATAAAGGGCTGCAGTAGCTTATTTCTCCCTGTACTCAATTAGCATTGGAAATGTTAATGGTGAATTAAACACATGCTTGTTTTTCCTTTGTGGTCAGACTATGATGCAGGCTAGTTTTTGGATCCAGGCATGTTTAGGCAGAAAAGTCAAGTTATACTTCAACCAGTAATGCTTTGACATCTGAACCAAAGCTCACTAATGTAGGTTCTTCAATGTTCATCCACAGAAGGGAGTACAACTTGGGTTTCCAAGAATGATATCTGGACTTCAGGTTTATGTTATAAGGAGAGATTATACAATTAGGCTGTTTTCTCTAGAATTTAGAAGGTGAAGGTGTGATCTGAATGAAGTCGTCAAGATATTATCAGCAAAAGACAGGGTAGGAAAAGATAAACTATTTCCATTGGTTGGAGTTTCTAGAATTAGGGGGCATTGTTGGAGAATTAGAGCCAGACCGTTCGGAGGAAATGTTAGGAAGCACTTCTACATAAAAAAGACCAATTGATGTTTGGAACTATCTTCCACAAACAGCAGCGGATGCTGGATCAGTTGTCAACTTTAAGTCTGAAATAGATAAAATTTTGTTAAGCAAGTGTATTAAGGGATATAGACCAAAGGTGGAGTTAGGCCACTGATCAGCCACGATCATTGAATGGTGGAACAATTTCAAAGGGTTGAATGGGCTACTCCTGTTCTTATGTTCCTATGACTCACATGCATTGATCAAAGCAGAGGTGAAAGACATACTTAAGACTGGTGTTGAAATTTTGAGATAACAAGGTGTAGAGCTGGATGAACACAGCAGGCCAAGCAGCATCAGAGGAGCAGGAAGGCTGACGTTTCGGGCCTAGACCCTTCTTCAGAAATGGGGGAGGGGAAGGGGGTTCTGAAATAAATAGGGAGAGAGGGGGAGGCGGATAGAAGATAGATGGAGAGGAGACAGACAGGTCAAAGAGGCGGGGATGGAACCAGTAAAGGTGAGTGGAGATGGGGAGTTAGGGAGGAGATAGGTCAGTCCAGGGAGGACGGACAGGCCAAGGAGGCGGGATGAGGTTAGTAGGTAGGAGATGGGGGTGGGGCTTGAGGTGGGAGGAGGGGATAGGTGGGAGGAAGGACAGATTAGGGAGGCGGGGACGAGCTGGGCTGGTTTTGGGATGCGGTAGGGGGAGGGGAGATTTTGAAGCTTGTGAAGTCCACATTGATACCATTGGGCTGCAGGGTTCCCAAGCGGAATATGAATTGCTGTTCCTGCAACCTTCGCGTGGCATCGTTGTGACACTGCAGGAGGCCCAGGATGGACATGTCGTCTGCGGAATGAGAGGGGGAGTTGAAATGGTTCGCGACTGGGAGGTGCAGTTGTTTAGTGCGAACCGAGCGTAGGTGTTCTGCAAAGCGTTCCTCACGCCTCTGCTTGGTTTCCCCGATGTAGAGGAGGCCACAATGGGAAATTATAGTTTGAGGATTGTTACCCTGTCATTCACAAATTCCCTCTGTCCTTTGACTGAATAGAAAGATGGTTTTTTTTTCTCATATACCTTAGTTTGAATTTGGTACCCGAGTTTAAATAAGTGAAAGTTTGTTAGTTTGGTTTATTAAATAAAAACTTGGATCTAAGAGAAAGCACAAATGAATCACTTTTGTGGAGCTGTTAGAGATCAATATCACTTTTAAAAAGACAAAAGTGTCACATTTCCTGTTTGTAGAAATCATCTTTGAATGGATCGTACATATACATCAGCATTTTGTTTTTGAAGATGTATTCTCACGGTATTGACATTACTGTTAGCTAACAGTGAGTTGATGGTACTGCTTAACCACTAATTCCAGATTGAATAGGGATGACAAGTTCATGAACATGAAACAGTTTGATTTCCATGAAAAACTTATTTTTTTGTGTGGTACTGACCCTAAATTGCTACTTTTAAAAATTCCTTTCAACGTTTTACGATGGTGTGATTTGAATTTGAATTCTGAATTTCCAGTCCTGTATGCATTTAGATGGGTATGTGAATAGGAAGGGTTTAGAGGGATATGGGCCAAATGCTGGCAAATGGGAGTAGATTAATTTAGGATATTTGGTTGGCACGGACGTGTTGCACTGAAGGTTCTGTTTCCATGCTGTGCATATCTATGACTCTGAGATCCTGTGCACTTTGTTTTAATCACTTTAGTAATGGCCAAAATATAAGTCCCTGTCAAATTAAAATTCCTGAAAAATGTCATTTTAGCTTTTCTTCCTTCATCCTGGAACAGTTTCTTAGTTCTTGTCCAAACTTGCACTGAGTTAAATATATCGTAGAATGAAACTTTAATTTTGTGTTTGCACAAAACTAATGTTTGTGTATCTTTGCTATTAAAAGAGCCATGCAGCATTGCTGAGGCCTGTGTCACTATTACCCCACTCTCTGTCCTATTTCCTTGTTCTGGAAACTTTAATAATCTCTGCTGAGCCCTCCCCCATTTTCACTTATTCCGTAATTTTCCATGCAACTGACCCTATCCACCTACTCTTCAGTTTAAAACCCTATCCATAGACCAAGTAATGTGATTTGCCAAAACTCTGGTCTCAGCATTACACAGGGGGAGCCCGTTCCATTGGAACAACTCCCATCTTCCTTGGTATTGGTGCTAATCCCATGAATTCAAATTGATTTCTCCCACACCAATCTTTGAGCCAAGCGTTTACCTCTTTAATCTTGTTGATCCTGTGCCAATTTGATTGTGACTCAGGTTATGATCCAGAGATTATTATCTTTAAGGTTCTGCTTTTTAATTTAGCCTGAGATGCTCATGTTCCCTTAGCAGAATCTCTTTTCTCTTTCGAACAATTTCGTTGGTACTTAACGTGGACCACAACAACTGGATCTTTCCCATCCCACTCCAGGTTCCTCTGCAGCCCAGATGAGATATCCTGAAACTAAACACCATTCAGGCAATACAGCTTTCGGGACTCTCGATCTCTATTCTCCTGACTATAGTATCCCCGATTACAACTACATTTGTCTTTTCTGTCTCCTGTTGAATGGCTTCCTATATCATGCGCTATGATCAGTTTGTTCATTGCCCCTTGAGTCCCCACTCACCTCCACACAGTGAGTCATACAGTTGTACAGCACAGATACAGGCCTTTTGGTCCAACTCATCCGTGCCGACCAGATATCCTAAATTAATGTAATGTCATTTGCCAGCATTTGGCCCATTATCTGTCTAAACCTTTCCTATTCATGTATCCATCCAGATGTCTTTTAAATGTTGTAATTGTACCAGCGTCTGCCACTTCCTCTGGCAGCTCATTCTATACATGCACTACCCTCTGCGTGAAAAAGTTGCCCCTTAGGCCCCTGTCATTTCTTTCCCCTCTCACCTTAAACCTGTGCCCTCTAGTTTGGACACCCTGACCCTGGGGAAAAGACCTTCACTATTCACAATGTCCATGCCACTCATTTTATAAACTTCTGTATAGTCACCCCTCAGCTTCGACACTCTAGGGAAAATAGCCCCAGCCTATTCAGCCTCTCTCTATGGCTCAAACACTCCATCCCCCACAACATCCTCGTAAATCCTTTCTGTACCCTTTCAAGTTTAACAGTATCTTTCCTACATCAAGGCGACCAGAACTGAACACAGTATTCCAGAAGCGGCCTAACCAGTGTGCTGTACAGCTGCAACATGACATCCCAACTTCTGTACTCAATGCAATGACCAATAAAGGCAAGCATTCCAAATGCCTTCTTTGCTACCCTGTCTACCTGTGACTCCACATTCAAGGAGCTATATATCTGCACTCAAGTTCTCTGTGTTTAGCAACACTCCGTAGGACCCTACCTTTAAGTGCGTAAGTCCTGCCCTGATTTGCCATACCAATATGCAACACCTCAGATTTATTTAAATTAATCTCCATCTGCCACTCCTTGGCCCATCTGATCAGCTCCCATTGTACTCTGAGATAACCTCCTTCATTGTCCACTACACTACCAATTTTGGTGTCATCTGCAAACTTACTAACCATTTCTCCTATATTTACATCTAAGTCATTTGTATAAGTGACTAAAGGCATTGGACCCAGCACCAATAATCATAGATTATAGAATCCCTACACTATGGAAACAGGCCATTCGGCCCAACAAGCCTACACCGACCGTCAGAGCATCCCACCCAGACCCATCCTCCTATAACCAAACTAATCTACACATCCCTGAACGCTATGGGCAATTTAGCATGGCCAATCCACCTAG